TACTTTGGCCTACAGGAAACTCATGGTTATGTTGTTGAAACAGAAATCTTTTTAAAGAATGATTCAGTCCTGTTTCTGGCACAAACAACTGTGCTTTTTGGAGTTTATATTTACTCTCTATTTAGAGAAAAAGAGGAAGTAAAAGTTGAAATCTTTAAAAAAAAAAAAAAAGAAAGCATGTGCTACTGGGTTTATACCAGAGCAGCCAGTCATTTATTTAAGAGATGCAAAAATTTGGTTTATTTGGAAAAATCACTGGTGCAGACAGCATAGTTGTTAGCTCTGTGGTCAAGAGAAAGATACTGATAGCATTCTGTGGAAGGTTTAAAGACTCTACCTGGCTACTAGAAGTTTCCTTTTGTATCAAGATGTCAGGAATAGTTCTGAGCAGAGACTACAGATGGTTTTAACTGTTTCTTTTTGTGTATCCAGCATTCTGATTTTTCTATAGCCATCATAGTGTATTTGCTAATGACCCAGAAAAAAATCCCCGGGGCCACCCATCAACAGGTCTTTCAGCACGGCAGGGGGCTGGAGAGAGGAACAGGATAAGCCAGGCCCACATCTAGCAGTAGCAGAGGCCTCAGAGCATCGCCTGACTCAGACAGAACCTGGTCTGGCCCCCAGAGCAAGGAGGACTTCGGGATGCAGCTCGCCCGATGGCTTCCTGGGAAAGAAGAGCAGGCATCCATGGGTCCTACAACCACGCTGACCTTCAACCACTGAAAGTATGGCCTTGCGGGTAGAGCCCCACCTGTGCAATCAGACTGCCAGGGTAGGACAGGGCACTCCTTAGTGGGTGTATGATGTTGAACAAGTCAGTTGGCCTCTCTATTCCTGTTTTCTCATCTATAAAATAGGAATCACAATGCCTCCTACCTCCTAGTGAGGCTGTGAGGGTTAAGAGAGATGATTCACAGCAAGGGCCTGACACACAAGATCCCAATAAATGTAAGGCATTATTGGGTCTCTGCCAGGAAACACCAGCCCTCAAGTGCACTCCCCAATCATGTGACTGGATCCCAAACAACTAAAGAAGGGTCCAAAAAATAAAGCCTTTCTTTTGCCTTCTTTGCTGAAGGCAGGACCGCAGCAGCGTGTTTACTCTAAACCCAGTGCCCTTGGGAGCAATGGTAGGATGAGGGCGGCCCTATAAGGTACACAACACGTCCCAAGGCCCCACACTATGAGCTAGAAATCCTGTTTTCAGAGTTACAGGATTTCTGCTTCTTGCCACTGCCACAGCTGCCAGCCACTCACTGCCTTTGGCAAGGAGATGGGTGACTCGAGTGTGAGCTAGGGCTTGGCAAGGGGACACCTAGCCAGAAGGCCTCCAGGCAGGAAACTCAAAGAAGGGCCACCTGCTGGAACAGTTTGTCTACAGGCAGCCCCTGAGATGGAGGTGACATTCTGCTGTCAACAGCAAATTCAGGTAAGAACAGTGAACATTTCAAAGATCCAAGAGAACTTACCATTCTGACTTCAGAACTCTGAAAATCTGTTTTGGGGGGTGAGGGGGGATGGCCGAAGACAGGCCCAGACACTTAAAATCACTGGAACGCCTTAACCAGACCTAAAGAGCGGCCCCCGAAAGTTGAATTGCAAATCAAATTGCAAAGAGTTTCATGGCCATCTTGAGCTAAAATGCATTACATTTGTATGAAACAGTACTTTCTCTCCCAAATGTAAAATCACCTCACTTTATCAAAGATTTAAGAAACCTCCTAAGGTCCATCTAGGAAGAAATAATCACATTATTATATTAATTACGTGGGTGAGTACATTCTATGCTGTGCAAGGTGACCAGCTCATCATGGCTGGCCTAGAATTTTCCCAGCTTTAGCACCGAAAGTACCACATCTTGGGAAACCCCTCAGTTCTAGCAAACCAGGATGATTGGTCCCATAATACTACAAGAAAAATGATGTGTGCTGTGGGAAGAGGAAAACAGAAGAGACACAGTTACAAATGCAGAAGTGCTAAATGCTAAGTTTGTTTGTAGCAACAGCTCCCAGTTCCCTCTCATAGTAAAAAAAAATAAATAAATAAAACTAAAAACCACACTTGCCTCTCCCTTTTTTAAACTATCCCAAAACAGAGTTTCAGAAAACACGGTCCCTCCTTGTGCACTACCGACCAAGATGCCAGGGCGGGACTGACTCTTCACAAAGTGACTGCCATCAACCCAGCCAGCTCCTGCCCCCAGCTTCAGCAGGACAGGAAATGTCATCCTCTTGCATTCTTTCCTTTAGGCAGGTTTAAAAACAAACCAAGACAGCTTGTGATTCAGCTTATCAACAGTAAGAATGTGTCAGGGAAATTGGGGTATCAAGCTACCAATCCAAGAGCCATGGTGGGAAAATCGAGAACCAGCTCACAGATAGGACCTTCAACAATGACGGAGGGACGGAGAAGGGATTGTTTCGCCAGCAGCTGACCAGCGAGTCGGGCACTCCTCTACAAACTCCGTGGAAGAAGCAGTGACTCCCACCAGGCAGCCCCCTACCCACAATGATGGAGCAAAACTCTTGCAGCCGGAACTCAAGCAAAGGGTTTTTAAGCCTCCGGTGAGGTTATGAAGCAGCATCTAAGAATTCAGTTTCAAACTGAAAGGTAAGACTATATAAGGCAAGAAAGACCACACATTTCCTGGACCTAAAGCCACATAGAAACCTCCGTTGCTCACAGCTCCACCCAGCCCAGACCACCTCCTCACCCAGCCTCCGTGTGGCCTTGTCCCAATACAGGATGGCAATTCTTAGATGCTCCTGAACCTTAGAACTCCTTAGATCCCTTTTATGCAGCTGGAGACGGACCCAAACGCAGGCTATAGGGCTCGTTTCTCCATAGTGATACTAGTATCTTTGGGGAAGGGAGAAGAGGTGGTCAGAAACATTTCATCTTTGAAAGTCCTACTCTCATAAGTCCCCAAGAATAACGTCCTTTCTTTCTAAGACCAAGAAATACACTTTTCCCTAGTGCTCATCTTGATTTAGGATGCTTTCTTGTAACCCTTTCAACACATCCAAGGAGAAGCTGGAGGTGTCTTACATCCTCTAGCAAAAAGCCCAGAAGCCTGGAAGGCAGGGGACAGGAGAGAAGCTAGTTTCAGCAACACAGGCCGGCAGCTGTGATCCCTGAGGAACACCTGCTGCACGTCTTCAGATCTCAGGTTCTCCATTTAAAAAAATAAAGGACTTGGGGGGCGCCAGGGTGGCTCAGTGGTTAAGCATCTGCCATGATCCCAGGGTCCTGGGATGGAGCGCCGCATCAGGCTCCCTGCTTGGTGAGAAGAAGCCTGCTTCTCCGTCTCTCACTGTGTCTCTCTCTGTCAAATGAATAGATAAAATCTTTTTTTTTTAAATAAAATAAATAAATAAATAAATAAAGGACTTGAGCTAAGATTGTCTTCAGCATCTCTCCCAACACTAAAATTCCATGTGAAATTCTGCTGTGTGTGTGATTACAACAATAATGCCTATTAGACTCACATCTTGTACTTGGAAGTTTCAGGAATTAAGAGACAAGTATAGTAACTTGGAGCAGCCAGGATGGCATGAGCAGGGCCGACTAAAACTGGAAGATGTTTTAAAAAGCAAATGTCTAACAGTTGTCAAAGTATGTGACCAAAAAAGGTGGAGAGGAACCTAATATCAACTTACAAACACTTTTAAATGTTCTGGAACCAGTGGGAACAAGTCGAGTCCCCAATTACCAGCTGTTCTTCCAGCTAAATTTAAGGAGAAGATGAATGCTAATTCAGTGATCTCTCCTCCAAAAAAAAAAACAAAAAAAAAAAACAAACCCACCTGTAAATGCTTAGGGAAAACAAAGCAAAATTTTGAATCTAATGGATAAAAGAGCAAATCATTCTGGTGACTGACTGCATCTAAATTGCAGAATGTTCTGGTGGATTCTACCTGGTAACGGCAAGGCAGCCAAGCATTCGAGAGGGAGGCGATGCTTCATACCAAGGAATGGCACGTTTGATAGGGTCTCTACGTCCCGACTGCCTCTGCACCTACCAGGACCCCCAAACAGGGTTCACTTCACTGTCCCTGAATAAATGGCAGGAGGAGAAAAAGCAAGCCGTTCCCTTTTTTCGGAAAAGGAGCTGCAGGGTTTGGCCACGCAACTTGGTTGGGCGCCTGTGAGGGTCAACGTCCTAGAGCAGCAAAGTCTGCGAAGGTGGCTGTTTCCGTCCACAGAGCTGCGGCCAGGGCTGCCCGCGAGTCCGCAAATAACCCCACTTCTCCGCACCGGGACTCCGAAGCTGCCCTGCGCGGCGTCTGCGCCCGGAAAGCAACCACCCGACACCGAGGGTGGTCCGCCGCGGTGAGCCGAGCCCCGGACTTCTCCCGGGAGACGCCGGCCAGAACCAAAAGCGCCTTCTCCGAGGGTCCCCTCCGCGCCCCGGGCACACGCAGCCTCGAGGCTGCTAAAGAGGAAGTCAGGCTGTCACGTCAAACGGAGAAAGCCGGCTCGACCCCACCAGAGCCGCGGTCTGGCCCGGAGTCCGGCTCGGCTCGGGGAAGGGTCCCGGCTGCGAGCCCTTCTCCCTGCATCCCGCGCCCTCCTTCCGGCGGCGCGGACGAGCCTCCCGCGGCCGGCCTCGCTCGGCGGAGCCCGCGCTGCGCAGCGCCGTGGGGGCCGGAGGCGCACCTCGAGCCTCCCCTCCCCCGGCGCAGCCCGGGCCCGCGGACAACACACCCCCGCGCAGCCCCGCACCGCCGCACCCCCGCCGCGCCCGGCGCCCGCCCGCCCCTGCCCCTGCCCTCGGGCGCGCCGCGGGCAGCGAGCGGAGCGCGCAGTTCCGACGGCCCAGGGCGGGGACGGCGCGGGGAGGAGAGCCGCAGCCGCCGGCTTTCGGAGCCCAGGCGGCCGCACGCACTCCTCCCTCCGCCCGAGTCAACAGCTCCGCGCCGCGCCCCCATCCCCCCGCCGGGCTCCGCGCCGCCCCGCGCCCGAGCGTCCCGCCCGCCGGCGCCGCCGCCCCCTACCTGGTCGGCGAGTTTGAGCACTGCCATTCTTCCGCCCGGGCGCGCGCAGGTCCGCGGCCCGCAGATGTCACGCCGGCAGCCGGCGGAGCGGAGGGGATGGCCGGGGGAAGAGGACAAAACCTGGCTCGCGAATTTGACAGCCCTCCCCCTGCGCCGCCGCCGCCGCCGCCTCGCGCCGAGAGGCTGCCGCGGGCCGCTGGGGCTGGCCGCCGCGCCCGCCCGCCCGCACACAGGAAGTGCCGGCCGCTGCCAGCCGGGCCGCCACTGACATCACCGCGCGCGGGCTCGCTCGCCGCCGCGCCGCCCGGGCCGACGCTGCCTCCTGCCGCCCGCAGGCGGGCCTCGCAGCCCGCCGCCCCCCGAGCGCGCCCGCCGCGCCGCGCCGCCAGACCGCCGCCTGCTTTCGGCGCCTGCACGCGGCGCCCCGGCGCCCGGGCCCCGCGGCCGCAAAGGCGAAAGCGCGGGCGCCCGGGGACGCCCCACCCAGGCCCCGCGGCTGAGCGCGCCCCCCGCCCCCTCCCAGCCCCATCGGACACACACGGACACAGCCGGATGAGCGAGCCCTTGCCGACACAAGCCCCGGGGAGTCGCCCCTCACAGGCCACCGCTCTGACCTGACCTCTCACCGGAGACCTTGGGTCAGTCACCCTCCTCCACCTCGCCCGCCAGTCCGCCCCGATTGCCCGGCGCTCCAACGGACTATCCCACCTAGGTCGGGGGTGTAGTTCTGGGGCTTTCTTTGTTTAAGGCGGGAGGCCTTGGACCCACTGTCCCTCTTGACGAGCGTTCGTTCGTCCAGCACTTGGGAGGTGGGGACGGGGCTCTCGCCTTCCCACCCTGTCCTCCCCCTACCTTCCAGCTGGACGCGCGCGCGACTCCATCGCTAAGTTCAAACGCTGGGTTTTGAGCTGGGGAGATGGGGGGTGTGGCAGAGTGACTGGAGAAGAAAAGAAGTCCTAAATTAGAAGTCCTGAATTAATGGGGCCTTTGAGTGTTGTCTCCGTCTTGACTCATTTCTACAAAATCCAGTTAGCGCGCTCTTCAGCAAAGAGAACACTCGGCTCTCGAGCCCCATGGGCTACAGAGACAGTGGAATGTGCATCAGCCGTAGTAAGTGTCGACACTTCTGGAATTTGGAGCAAACATTTATTCATTCAACAACTATGTACTGCGTGCCTGCTTTGTGCCACATACCAGCTGGCACAGTAGGAAAGGCAGGGAGCATGAACAGGGAAGGTACCTAGTCTTAGTGGGTGTCCTGCATGAAGCAAAAGGTTACAACTAATGAATGTAATCTCCACTGGTAAGGGATGGGGGGCGCGGGGGGCGGGGGATTCTTCCAAAGGAAATCCGTGCCAAAGGAATCCGAACCCGACTGGCGGGTGAGGGCAGCTTCCCTGTCAAAGTGCCAAAAGCTGAGGTTCGGGAGGAAGAAGAGTTAAGTAGGGAAGCGGGTTGGGGGACCGCTCCCAGGTAGCCCCGTGTGCCCCTGGCATGCCACCAAGCAAACCTGCCTTGAGCAGCAAACACAGCTGCGGTTCTGGATTAAGACCAAATACCTACCTTTCATTCACTCACAGGCCAAATGTGGACTATCCCTCCCTACTTGCAGAGCCTCTCCAAAGATCGAGAGCAGGAAAGGGAGAAGGGAGTGGTAGCATCTGCTCAGCATCCCCATCTTTATTACCTGACCGTGGTGTTGTGTGACTCGGATCCCACAGACAAGGGAGCTAAGGAAGCAGGCCCCTGGCTTCCACTCCTCTGTCTTCATTAATGCTCAGAGACAGAACGTTTTTCTCCTCAAGTCCTCCTTCAAACACGAAATAGATCGCATCTGTTGTATATGGAGGCAGCTCTTCATCACTGTCCTTGGTATTTGTACTTACTAATATCACACTGCGTGGCTCTGTAAGTAAATGCAATAGGACACAGAATTCTCCACTGTAGCATAGCTACCTTGCAGAAGAATGATAACAAACAATTGAATCTACAAATGCACTCAAGATCCACTTTGGTTCAACATGACTGTGCCTAGCATAATTTCTTTATTTTATTTTATTTATTTGACAGAGATCACAAGCAGGCAGAGAGGCAGGCGGGGGGGTGGGGGGTGTGGGGGTGGAAGCAGGCTTCCTGCTGAGCAGAGAGCCTGATGCAGGGCTCGATCCCAGGACCCTGAGATCATGACCCGAGCCGAAGGCAAAGCCTTAACCCACTGAGCCACCCAGGCACCCCAATTTCTTTAGGCCCAATTTAAAAGGAGGAGGAGGAAGCTGTTCCCAACCGTATCAGACCCATCACCTCCTTTTTGTAACTAGTGTTTGTAATACTCCCCTTACTGTCCTGAAGTGAAATTCATAGATAATTAACTACCTATGCAAATTTCCCAAGAAATCAATATAATCTCTTAATGATATAATAAAGGAAAAATAAAAGGAAAATGATTCGTCATTAACTTTGTATTAGAAGACAAAATAAATAGTAAGATGCTTACACATGTATGTAGAACCATTGTGAATGAGAGAACTATAAGGACAGACCACTATAAATGTGTTGTATTAGCAACTCAAATATCGACATTGGTCTTGTCAGAGGTGACATGATTTAGTGAAAGGCTGAACAGTTTTTGGTCAAGTTTCCAAACAAAGAGCAAGGGATTGGGCTAAATTTGTTGATATGGGTGCATTTACTGTAAAGCCTGGATTTAATGTGTTAGTTCATACATTGAAAGTGACTCTAATGGTTTGTTTAATTGGCTAGCCAAAACTCAGACCCATTGGTAGTCTATATTCAATGAGATTAAGATGCCCAAATCATGTAGAGGAAGAAATCCAAAGGCTCATGGAGATGGCAAAGTTGGAGTGATTTTATGTATAATGTGTACACCCAGCCCTGAACTATATACCCCTGGAGGCCCAGGTGATTATCTCTACTCTAAGGCCCTGAAAAACACTTTAGTAAGGGGAGTAGCAGAAAAGCTCTGTGGTAGCTGGATGTGATGGTGGCAGATGCTTTCATTGAAATTGCTCCCTGATTTCCGTGACAGTGGGATCCTGGGATGGGATGGCCAAGTGACAGTGCTTAATTGGCAGGAACAGAGTGACACATTTGCTGCAGTGGGCAGCAGGGGAAACATACGACTGAAAACTCTTACCTACGGGGATATTCAGTAATGCCCCGGCAGACTTCTGAAATACTCCTTGATCTCTGTAAGAGGCAAACTAGCCCTGCTACCCGAAACCTGACTTGAGCCATCAAAATGAAAAGTCCTCCTTCTCAGCCAGTTTTCATACGTCAGCCAGTGCACAGACCCCTTGATAGAAACGGAGGCTGATCCCCCTAAGGATAGAAAACCAAAAGTGATACCAAATCCCTGGAAAGATGTAAAAATTAGTAGCAGCTTAAAAGATGTGGATGAGGCAGCAGTCACGATCGTATTGTTTCCCCCATTCAGCTCACCTGTTTGGCCTATGCAGAGGCAGATGAATCTGAGAGAATTATTATGAGTCGGTGTAAACTGAATCAGATGGTAAAGCCAGTTGCTACCACAGTTCTATGCGTCTGTCTTTACTAGAGCAAATCAGCGCAATCCGGGGTACCTAGTACACATCTGCTGATAGGGCAAATGCTATTTTATCTATTCCAAACTGCACCAAAAGCTGTTCTCTTTTCTATGACCAAGGCAACAGTTCACCTTCGTAGTCTTTATGGGACATAAACTCTCCTGCTCTCTGCCGTGATCTAGTCTGCTGAGAGCTGGATCACTATATTAAAGACATCCAGGAGCAATCCTGAGAACCACTGTACTGTTGTGATAATAGCCTATGATTTCAATAAATCTGCCCAATTTACTAATAACACATTTCACTGTGGTTTTATGTGCTTGATTTATGCTTTTTAAATTTTCCTAAGTATAAATACACATGACATGTATGTGTATGTCTATATATTCATGTGTGTGTATATATGTGAATGTACCTGCTTACATACATACGTGTGTGTGTGCATTAACATGTAAACGTGTGGTGCTGCGGTGTCCCACCTGGTTCCCATCTTCGGGACCAAAGCCCTTATTCCCCCAACTGCTTGGAGTGCTGCCGGCTGACAGCTTAAAGCTGAGTCTTCCCCCAGGAATTGCCCTCAACCAAAAATAACCACCTCGACCAAGGTCATAACCCCTCCTTGGAAGTTATACATACCCAATGAATACAAGATACAAAGGCGTTTTAGGTGTTCCCAAAAGCATGGCCCAATAAGTCTCAGCATGCAAATCTCCCTCTCAGAGGCCAGTTGCTGAGAAACCCCACCCAATATAATCATGTGTTTTGACTTTACGCTGGTGGTTTACATAGTTCATACCCTGTTTGTAAATAAATCAGCACCGCCTCCCTGGCCCAGCTGAGGACCACGGGCAGAGGTATGTAAAGGATTGCTGAATGAGGCGAAATTTCGGATGAGGTTACCTCACCGTCTCAACATGGTGACTCTTCTGTTTTGAAACTAGTGTGGCCTTTGAATGCGTAAGGCACAGGGGATCCATGGGTGTCTTGGGGCTAGCAAGTGATTCTCTCAAAGCAGACCCAAGGGCCTGGCAAGCTAGGCTAAGGGGGTAAGAGCATTTCACCAATGTAACTTTTCTATTTTTTTTTTTAAATATATATGAGCACTCCTTGTCTCCACACATACCATACTTCCTGGACCCTAAAGAGCCACGGAATTTCAGTTCGTACCAGTTGTTTAACAGAACCTAGTAGGGAGAAGATGAAATATTCCCACCCCACTAAATGATCCATATTCAATGTCGACACATTTAAAGCACTTTATACCCGTACCTGGTACAAAGATGAATGTTAGCTATTATATCTGTTGTGTTAAAATATGAAGGGATGCCATCCTAGAAATGAAGAAATATGGTAGGTATTTTAAAAAATAACAAATTTTTTTTGGTGTTGATTTGTTTAAAGGTATGTACTTTATTTTTTAAATGTTTTATTTAAATTCAATTTAGTTAAAATGTAATGTATTATTAGTTTCAGGGGCAGAATTTAGACAAATT